ATCTCTGGTTACGCTGCCTTTGATCTCCCTCTCTTTGCACAGCCAGTCTGTGACACCAAACCTTGCCTGTCCTTCAGTACCAAACCCCATAACTCTTTCTGACTCCAGCATTTTGTTTCTTCAATACTTTGTCAGGATGGAAATACTAACCAAACCCTGAACTTTTAAAATCTTTCTAGTCCTGTGATCTCCCTTGTACGCTAATTTTGAAAATGTGCTGGCATATTAATAGAGCCCTGCCCGAGGTGCAGAGCCCCTCTTTAGAAGCTCGATTTTATTTTTGATGCCTATAACAGGTGCTGGTTTAATAGGTTTGCTGTATTACAGCTTTCCTTTTTCTCTGGTGAGCCCAGCCAGATCTGTAAGCTGACACTACATGAAGGCCAGGCATGTGACTTCTGCCTGCCTTTAGCCTCGCTTCACACTGAACATTTACACTGCAGACTTGCAGCAGTATGGCAGCCTTAATTCAAGCTTTGTCTAAACCAGGAGGTTTTGTGCTGATTGTATTTAAATCAGCCCAAGCAAAGCTCCTCGTGCATTCCTGTCTGAGGGTCTTTCTTTGATTTTCTGCTGTCAGCTTTTGAGTGGGCAGCTGCTGGGGAGAGTGAATGTGGCTCAAACAACAAAGGAATGTTTTTGTGCTGCTCTTTGCATCCATTTCATGAGGAGTTTGAAGCTAAGGTATAAATTAAACTGAGTGGTGTTCTCCTTCCTTGCTGCAAAGAGGAAGGTGAATTCTTCCCCTATTAGGTCTGGTGGAAAATGTTTCACAGCCTGTTTATCAAATAAATATTCACAAAGACGCTTCGAACGAGGAAACGCACCAGGATTAAAGTGTAACTTTACCTCTAAAATACAAGCTGAGATTCCTGGAAATGCTGCAAGCCTTTGACTTTGAGCCACCTGTTATTTTCCTGCCACCCCCTTCAGCTCCCTCCCTACTCCCAGCAAACCCAAACACGCTTTGGCTTCGCTGGAACGTTCTGCTTGTTTTTCTCAGCGCCGAGGAGCGGAGAGCGCGCGTTTGTTTCCTCATGGGCTCCTCCCGGCCATGGTCCAGCAAGGAGCTGGCTGGGGTTGATCCACATCTCTGTAAGCCCAAGGGGTCTGTCCAAGGGTGGTGCAAAGTGCAAAGGCTGAGGGCTGTGCTACCTGGGGGTGTTGAACTGGGTTAAACTGAGGGGCTGGAGTGGGATCCACCCAGCTCTCCTCTCCCTCTGTGGCTGGAGCTGGTGCTGACCCGAGGGTGAAGAAGTTCCTGAACAAGTGCCATGGTTACAGAGAGTGTGGAAGTGAGCACTGCTGACTGCCAGTTACCTTAGCTTGGCTCAGAGGTGTTCCAGTTCCAGGTCTGCGCTCGCTGCAGATGAGGTGTCTCTGGGAATGACGTTGGGTATGAACTTGGAAGTTGAGTTGTTTTAGCCAGATCCTCCCATATTCATAAACAAACCTAAATGGACTTGGATGGGCTCCTTAGTTCCTATGATTTCTTTTTTGCTTGAGCTGCTCTCGCTCCAGGTTTTTAGTCCTCAGCAAAGGCTGCATCACCCTAGCTGGATGGTCCTTTTCCATGCACGCTGGAAAGCCAGAGGTAGAGAGGGGTTAAGGAACTTGCCCAAGGCAGATGAGTCTGTGCCAGAGCTGGGAATAGAAACCAAGAGACTTGGCTCCCACTCCAGGCTCTAATTGCACAATCTCACATTGAAGCCCTGTCATTGTATACTCTTGAGGTAACACTGGCTGAAGTGAGGCAGGGAAAGCTGTTTCCAGGCTGTGATACCTAAGGAGTGGGGAGAGGAAAGGATACCTGGAGGTGTTGGTTGGGCAAGCACCAATTATTTGTGCTTTAACGCCTGCTTTCGGCAATTGGTTCTAAAATCTGATCTGTCACATTTGAAGCCAACCCAGTGTGAAATGGTTGGGAGAAATCCAGCCCTTTTCCAGTCAGTGATAAAGGGGAGAGGCAAATTCATAACATCACTGGTCTTTTTTTTTTCTTCTGCAAAACTCCCTTGTGATGAACAGGGGGAAAAAGGCGGGAGAGCTGAGAGGATCCAAGTAGTAACAGTAAGGGTTAAATCACATTTGGGCCCTTACCAAAAGAATGAAAAATAAATTGTAATCAAGCTAGTAAAAGGTTTGGGCTATGTTGCCTTCATATCACATGCTGTGTATAGGAAAAGTCCCAGGCTTTGTTTGAAGTGCAGTGCTATGAGAGGGTGCAGTGCTTTGCAGCAAACTGTCTGACATTCCCCAGCTGGGACTGGCCTGGGATGCTGTTTGGAGCTGAGAGTTACATTTGGAGTCAGCCCATGTTTGAAGGAAAGGGGGAGAGGGAGAGAAAGGAGCCAGTTTTTCTGCCTGTGTAAAATAGTGTATCCATCTCATCTGCCAGCTGCAGCACATGAAAAGCGAGAGGCGAACAGACAGAAGTCACCTGGAAACTGCGAACACGGCTCAAACAAAATAGTTCTTTCCTGTCCTTTTCCTCCCTTCTTCAAGTCTGTCTTCTGGGATGGGCTGGGAGATCTGGCAGGCGGGCAGAGTGGATATATGTTGAGCAACCAAAGCACAAAAATATTAATACTGCAAAAAAAAACCAAAAAAACCATTGGCTTCTGAAGAGCATTTCATGTCCAAATTCACTCTGTGCTCTCAGTCCCTTGCAGACTTAGTTGCCCTGTGTAGGGATTCTCAGGTGATTTATAGATTCTCCATGTTCGTTTGTACAAGCCTTCATTTCCTGTTAATTTACAGCCAGATTGATCTCAGCCATCACAGCTTAGATGAGATCAGAGCTGAACTCGCAGCCTCTGCTTCAGGAGAGCTCCAGAAAATGTGCTTGTGGCTTGCTCTCTGTTATGTCTGTGTTGAGGTACTTTCCTGAATCACAGGATACACATTTAATGGGTGCTCTTTGTTTGAGGAGGAAGAAAAGATTAAAAATTTCTGAACCTTGTGATTCTGCTAATCAAGTTAATGGCAAAAAAACACCCAAAAACCAAACCACCAAAACCTAGTCCTAGGGGGAAAGAAATTCCCCTTGCCCATGTGTTCAGTTAATGGAGGTCACAAAATTCTGGGTATGGAGATTTTTCCTGTATTTTAATCTCACTATGCTATAAATTCAGTGCACCACTGTATTACTAGGTGCATGGATGTGAAAATTCAGACTTTATTCACAGCTGTAAATGAATATTGGTCTTTTGGATAGCAGCCACATTATTATCTTTGAAACAGTTGTGGTTGTGGAGACCTGTGTGCAGGTAACCATGGAATAACCAGTTTGGAGATGTAAATTATGACTTCCCTTTGATTTTTCTTGACACCTTGTTGCACTGTATTAGCAGCACACTGCTGTAGTGCTGTAAAATTTGTCCTTAGTGTTTTCTGAGCCTGCACTGAATTAATTGTCATTTAAACTCTTCAGTCAAAGTAGTGTTTCTGTGCCTGTTTCCCCAGCGTTAAGCAAGGGCCATGTGCTGGCTGTTTAAAGGGCGAGTCTCCCAAAAGCAAATTGTTCTGGGGTTGCAGATTTTTCACTCTTCCTGTTGTGGACACCAGCAAAGGTTGTGGTGAAACAATCTGGTTTTAATAACAAGGAGGGTAAAGGAGCAGATCACGGTGTGGGGAGCAGGTCCCTTGCCATGTGCTGCTGGCATTTTCTGTCAAAGGGAGGAGGTTTTCTTCCAAAGGGGCTTGTCTGAACCCCTGGGAGAGCCTGAAGTGGGGGTGAAGCTGGAGAAGATGGGCTCCTAAACAGATGTAGGTGTCTGAAAAGCTGTGTCAGACACCCCTCAGTTTTTTGGTTTAAAGGGCTGGTGCTTTGTCAGGGGAGCTGGGACTTGATTCAGGAGTGCTTTCACTGGCTGCTCTCCCCTCCTCTCCTCACCCAGTAGGTGTCTGGATGGATTGAGGCACAGGACTTGTCTGAACTCTCTTTACTATCTCTTATTATTCAGCAAGTTCCCAAGTGTCTGGTGAGTGTCTCTGTTTGGAGTGCCTCACTCAGAGCCTTGCCAGTAATATCAGTGACTGGTCTAAATTCACATCAGGCATGTGCTCTGCCTCTTGTGACTAATGCACAATGTATTTTTTTAATTGATTACTGTTCTCTACTGACTCAGGCCAGAAAGGAGTCAGAGGAAAGGGCTCAGTGAGGGGGTGATTTTTTACTTAGACCTTGTTGAGTACAGATGAAGTCTAAAGGTATTTAACTGTTTGGTGGCTGTGGAAGCAAACTGAGGGCAGTTGGTAGGACTTTCTCTAAAGAAAAACCTTAGGCTGGATCCCTCAGGCTGTCCTGGTCAGGCAGCAAACACAGGTGATCAGTGCAGGGTCTGATCCTGCAGATGGTGCTTGGGCAGGCACTGACACTGCAGAGTTGTCCTAATCCTACAGTGGGACTAAAGTAGCAAAAGATAAGGAAATGCCAGCAAGAACATTTGCAAGGCTTCTTATTTCTGTGTGTTATAAATCATTGTAGCACATTGCAAAGCTGGGAATTTTCAGAAGAATCCTTAGGAGTTAAGAATGTTATGTAACTTCTGTTGGGTTTGTGTTTACTTATTTGTTTCCTTCTCTGAAAGTCACATTCTCTGGATAAAACCTTGGCATGTTGGCTGAGCCGCTGATCTGCACGCCTTGCCTTTGGGATTCAGAAACAGCCCTGTATGTGACAAATCCAGTTTGGAAGTGCAGGCTTGCAGGAGAGCCCAGATTAATGGAAGAAAAACTGATGAGTGGAGTCAATAGTTCTGTAGAAAGTAAAAAGTGTCAGAAAGCCTGCAGATACCTGTGAGCTGGCTCTAGCCAGAGGAGCAGAGATTAGGGAATCTCTCTGGAAGGGGTCTCTCCTCAGGCAGCTGTTAAAAACTCACCATAACTCCGAGTGTACAAACTCGGGGCCAGCCTGGGGGCCTGCTGCAGCCTTGGATATTCTTTCTGCTTTTCTAAGAGAACTCAACAGTCCCTTTTTCTCCTCCTGACTGTTTCAGGCATCACAACAGGATCCGCAGCGTTGAGGGCACTCAGCTGCAGCCCTACGTTGCCCTGGAAACGTTGGACCTGAGCTTCAATGACATCACGGAAATCCGAAACGGCTGCTTTCCACAGGGACTGCACATAAAGGAGCTGTGAGTTCTTGTTGGGAACTGCTCTTGTTGAGTTACCACAGCAGAGAAAAGGGCCTCAAACCTTTAGAGAAAAAAGTCATGAATGTAAGAAGTATGGGATTATTTGTCAGGATTTTAAGTGCAAAGGAGAGTTAGAAGGCAGCACGTTGTCATTATTGTCAAATTATTTTTTGAGTGGTTTCTGATGTAGCTATAAATAATGCAGATTATTATTAATTGTGTTTTAAAGAAGATGTATCTCTCAGGTATCCTGCATCCTTCATGTGTAGGTGTCTTTACATCTGCAAACCCATGTGCATCTAGAAGAGTGGAGAGAGAACACCTATTTAATCATTAAAGTGACTTTCTGAATATCGAGAACAGAAATGTCTCTGATTATTTGAAGAAAATGGGATCAAACAGAGTAACACACTCCCACAGGATGTTTGCCTATTCAGAGAAACACGAAATAATCTGTATTTTAGGTACCTTTGAAGAGGTGCAGGCAAGTAGTCTGCCTGCATTAAAATTTACACCCAAGTTTGTGTTCCTGGATGCAAGAGGGTATAAGAGAGTGGTGTTGTGACTGAGGTCCTGCAGAAACAGCCCCCTGTGTCTCAGACTAGGATTCAAATAAAAAAGACTCCTGGGACAGATACTGAGCGGAAAATAGGGAATGAATAGCATCATCCTGCACTGGAACAGTCTCCACTTTCTGGCTTCCAGTCCTGACTGCCTTGTTCAAGTAGAAGGATGTCAGGGAGCTCTTTGGAAGTGCCCAGCAATTCTCCACATTCATCACAGGCTCTGGGAAAGGCCCTTTGTGCAGCCAGAAATTCAGCTGGTTTGAAGCCATCTCTGTAGTTCCACCAGCTTGTCTGGAGACCAACTAAATGCTGATAAAAGGTAATTTCTGACAGAAGCATTCATTTTTCTGCTGTGATTTATTGCAGCTACCTGGGGAGCAACAGAATCAGCACCCTGGAGCCTGGTGCTTTTGACAGCCTGTCCCGGTCCCTGCTGACACTCCGTCTGAGCAAAAACAGGATCACTCAGCTTCCTGTCAAGGCCTTCAGGCTGCCCAGGCTGATACAGCTGTGAGTACAAATGTCCACTTTAATTGAGCTCAGCCACACTTGATGGAGGTAAAACGATCCTGGGGGTATGCACAGCAAATGTCACGCATCCTCACCCACTGCGTATGAAATGTAGAGTCCACTATGCAGGAGTCCTCTGCCAGCTCCTACAACACACACTAGGAGAGGGTTTTGTCTTCTGACTCTTGGCTTTTCAGGTCATTATTTGGATCAGGTTGGGAGGGAGGAATGCTGCAGCAGGCACCAGCATCTTTTGCACTTGACAAAGTGAGACAAATCCATTCCCTTGCAAGCTGCTGGTGTCTGTGGTGCAAGAGAGGTTCACAAGATGTTTCTACTGAAGGTGGCAAAGCTCAGCTGTCATGTTAGTGTTTCTTTATGTGGCAATAAAAAAAGCAATGAGGGAAGGTTGTTAAACTGTGAGGTGGTATTTGGACAGAGAAAATTGCAGCTCAGATGAGTTAACACACACACAGTTGTTGTTCTGCTTGCATGGGGCCCCACAGGCATCTGCAGCTATAAACATGCTTTATGTGTAAAAAAGTGGCACTAATGGTTGAGCTTTCCCCTTCTGCTGCTACAGAAATGGGCCCAGCCTAAGGCTCATTGCAATCTTTCCATCAAATTTGATAGACAAAAGGTCCACCTCTGTCTGTTAGCATCAAGTCCACAAATGCTGTTGGAACTTACACCTCCAAGTGTCAACCACTTGACAGAGAGAGAAATCCTCAAGCCAGGGTGTGCCCAAGGAGTGTGTGTGCATTTATGTCTGCATACATGCAGGATTTACAGCCAGTTTGGGATGGGATAGGGGGACACAATAGGAAAAGTCTGTTGCCTCTCAGTTGGAAGTTGCTGTCCATTGAGTGAGGGCTTCTGATTCACTGTGTTTGACTGCATCACGTGCAAAACTGTAATGAAAACAACTCAGTCTGTTTGGGAATATGGTTTGCACTGAGAGATGGAATAATTGGTGCTCTTAATGACTGCCTCAGAGCTGGTTGTTTAACTCTGCAGATAAACATGAATGAATTGCAAGTTACCCAGATTGGTGTGTTGTAGAATTTGTGTACAGTTCTTTTTCTGGCAAAGCCTGTTTCACTAATAGCCCAGGAAGTTCAGTACCACAAGGGACTTTAGGCCTGCAAGATCTTTACTGCTTACTTGACTTCAAATATTCTCAACTTGAGCGCAAGTTCAACATTGTTTTTTTAGGCAGTTGAAAAGTAAGCTTAAAGTCTCTATGGCTTCTTCATCTTTTCCAAAACAAGTTTGGATGTTGTAACCTCTACCATTTCCCTCAACACAAACACTGACTAGGAAACTATCCTCAGCTTAATCTTGTACGTGTGGAAAAGTATCAGTTTTAAAAGCTTTAGCTTCAGCTTTTAGTGCATTGTGTTGATGTTCTCCACTGACTTAACAGAACTGGATTTTCAGCTGGTATGTCTGGGTCAAGTAGTCCATAAGACTGATATAGGTTGGTAAAGTGTGCTGTGATGATGTTCACAATGCTATTCAGAAAAAAAGATATTGCCAAATATTTAGGGGTCCTTCCTCACCCAGAGAAACTCAAAAGAAATTTAATGAACCAAGCTGGAAACTATTGTATACACAACTACTAAGACTACATTGTTACTGGAAACACTTTCACTCTTTATTAATTTCTGATATTAGGGGAAAAAAAAAATTACATTTTTCACAGGGGACTGAAAGCTTTCCTTTCAGACTTGGCCATAGTTTCCTCTTGGGCCCATGCTTTTGGGGCACCTGCATGTTTCAGAGCACATTTTTACTGGGCATTTACAAGTCCTATAAAAACAATGAATTGTAAAGGAAGTAATGCCAATGCTTTGGTTCAAATGGTGTCTGCGCTTGAGGGAGGATGAAAAGTGGAAATTGATGGGAAGGATCAATGGCTGAAAAGAAATGCAGAGAGGAGGGATGAAGAGGAATTGCTGCACTCTGTAATTTCTCTGTAGTGAAAGCCTGTCCTGGGGTGAGTTTGTTTAAGAGATCACACCCAGCTGCCTTCCCTGGGCAGCTCTGGGACTGAAAGTTTCCGGTGCTCTTCTGCTGTCTCCTGGGAACCACTGACACAGGAGCTGTTGGCATTGCTGTCCCCATTGTGTGCTGCACAGATGACTTGGTGAGAAAGGGCTGGGGTTTAATAAACTTGTATGGCCTTGGTGGTTTCAGGGAGCTGAACCGGAATCGCATCCGCCTGATTGAGGGCCTGACGTTCCAGGGGCTGGACAGCCTGGAAGTCCTGAAACTGCAGCGCAACAACATCAGCAAACTGACTGATGGGGCTTTCTGGGGTCTGGCCAAAATGCAAGTTCTGTAAGTTGGAGAAATGGGCTCTTTGTCCTTTTCACCTGCTGTCACATCCTTCTCTGTGCCCGTGGGCACCTGTGCCACTTCTTGTGCTTCTTTCTTTGTCCTGCATGCCCAGAGGAGCTGCAGCAGCTTCACTTTAGCTGACCCACAGTTTACAAAAGCTCACTGCTTCAGCAGGTGTTCAGTCAAAACAACACTGTTTGTTAAGCTGTGGCACTACTCCTTTGAAAGTTTGACAGTTTGAACATTCAGCATTTATCTCAATTGGTCTTTAAACATCTGACTTCTGCAGATTTGTTTTGGCTGATAGATGGAAACTCTGTGCTGCAGACAGTATCATTCCACCTCATGGGATGCCTAGAAACCAAGCTGGCCATTCTTGGTGATGTTTTCTTTCCATACCAGAGAATAAATTGATTAGTCATTGCAGAGAAATACCTGAAGCTTCCAACACCCTTGGCTTCCAGATGGAAGGGTGGGCTTTAAGCCTACTTTACTTGCAGTGGATCTTCTCTCTGCAGTCACATCTCCTTCTGGGCATTTCCTTTGTGTTGTCCTTGAATTTCTTTCTTTGTTTGACAAGAAATTCTCACACATGCATGTGTCCACATGAGTATGTAGAAAGGTGTGTAGGAATGGCTGAAATCCCAGTTCTTTTTGGAAATTCTTTCAGCATTTGACCAAATATCTGTCAATTCCTTCTGATTTTTCTCCACAGCCACCTGGAGTACAACAGCCTGACAGAAGTGAACAGTGGCTCTCTCTATGGCCTTTCCTCTCTGCACCAGCTTCACCTCAGCAACAACTCCATATCCCGCATCAACCCCGATGGCTGGAGCTTCTGCCAGAAGCTGCATGAGCTGTAAGTTGGTTTCTGTGGTGTTGTGTAATGCTGGCAGGTGAGAGGGGAGTAAGGAATTTTCTCAGGGCTTATAGCCCCCACTGTATCAACCTGCAGAAATGCAGGAACTGCAGGCTCCCAAGTGATGCCCTGGTTATTTATGATGTTATGATGACCTTCAGAGCACCTGTGATGCTCTGTTAAAACATATTTGTACCAGAAACAAAGGCTAGAACCCACTAAAAGTGTACAGTGCCAAAAGACCTGGAGAGTTTGTGAGCTGCAGCTTGCCAACGTTTTTAGCTAGTGAGTTAAAGACTTGTAACTTGCCGTATAATAACTGTACAGCCTGAAGGAGGCTTTGCTTTATCCTCTGTATTTACAAAGAACAACCATGTTTTCAACCAGCAGAGATTTGGCCCTTTCAAGGCAGTTCTCCTTGTTTCTCCTGTTTACACTTTATCCTTCCTGTGGGGTTCAGTTGTTGAAAAGTAAATACGTGGGTTTTGCTCTCCTGAGGTGCTGGGAATGCAGCCTGACAAATGCAGGAAAGCCTTGCTGCTGAGGGCAGCCCCACAAGGCTGTCTTTTGGGTCTGTGGCACTGCTTAATGCCTTTTTGAAGAGACAGGGATGCTTGCAGTATTTACAGAAGGTGCTGTCATCCCCTCTGTGGGGAATGCAAAGCTTTGCTTTTTGCTTTGGTGAACTGTACACGTGGTCAGTGGAACTGGAATTCATTCTGCTTGCTGCGGGAAATGTTGAACAGTGTTAGGGAGTCTCCTACCCACCAAAAAGCAGTATGGTAGAGCAACTTTCTGCTGCCAGAGGCCTCACTCTGCTCCCACACTGGAGGTTGGTGTCTGCCCACCCAGCTGTGAGTCCTGAAACATTTGGGCTGTGGACTCAGAGATGGATAGACATGACACATGTAATTTCTTTATGTTTAGAATTAACATGCTAACCCTGTGGTCTTCTGTTGAACCCAAATTATTTGTTCAGATGTTGGTTATTTTTTGGGGGCACAAGGAAGTACTTTATCTTTTGTTTTAATTAAATATACACGTGATTGTTGAATTACCTCATTTTTCAAATTGCTGCAGAACTGCCCATGCCTTGCACAGTTCTGTGGACAGCTGCAGTTCCTTCATGTGGAGATCCTCACATGATATTTTGCTAGATTAAGGCAGTGTTAATGGAGACGTCTTCAAGGCAGCAGATCAGAACTGGAAATGTGCTCTGCCTTTGGTCTGTTAAAATCTGAAGCATCAAGAAAAGGGAACCTGCCTTGCCAAGACACTCACAGCTGAATTCTTGGAACAGCCAAATGCGGATCACTGCACTGCACAGCTCTGAGAGCTTTCTGCTCTCAGGACCAAACATCTGGTGCCTGTGCTGAGTTATTTCAGCCTGGGTTGGATGGGATGGGTCAGGCCCACCTGCACCTCGCAGGGCTAATGGCAGAACTCTTTTAGGGAGAGCTAAGCTTGTCTTCTCTACATGACTGTCTTGCAAACCCTCAAGGTTTAGACTAGAGGTTGCTTGTTCTGCTGAGTCCTTTTTCTGAGGTATGGATTAGAATCTCGTCCAACAAGCAGCTCTAACAGTGAGCTGTCCTGTGTTAGAAGCAGTGATTGCAGAAACTGGGGTGCAGGATGGGGTAGGTTTGGAAAATGCCTGGTGGTGTGAGATGGTGTGAGCCACTGGGGTGTGCCTGACCTGACAGGCAGGATTGTGCTGCAGTTTGAGGCCAGTGCCTGAGATGGGAAAGGCGATTTGTGTGGGTGTTAGCACAGCCCTGCAAAGTGCTACAAGCTCTTCCAGGTGTTGCCTTTAGGGTAAGGCTGCTGCAGGGAGCCATCAGGTCTCCAAACTGAAACTCCCACAGCTGGAGAGTACCTGTAGGAGAGGTGTGTGCTGAAATGCAGGGTGAGGAAAGGAAGCCATGGATACATCTAGACTGTGCACTTTGTTAGTTGTGTATGTTTCATTCCTGATGGAAAGATCCTTGCTCTCCTCCACTGTTGCTAAATCTACTGGGTTTCAGTTACCAGAAAACACTCTGGTTGTACAGAGAATGAGTTTCAAAGTTTTCTAAGGAGGGAGTTGATCATCTGAAGGAGGAGTTAGCTCTCATTCAGTTGCTGGGACAAAACGTGAACCCAAGGCTCTGGGCTGATGTAAAAGCTGACAAGGAAAGAAAGCTCTTGCCTTGTTCTGAGCATGAGAAAGGGCTGATTGTATTCACCAGTCAGGTGCTAGAGCATCAGCATCATGGAAAAAACCACAGTGGGAGCAGAGGATTTCATCAGAGGTAAATGGTGACTTGGCTGCTGGGTCTTTCCTTTTTTACCTGTAGCTTGGTCAGTGGCAGTGAAGTGTGTTAGATGTACCTGGTCCAGAACAGGCTGGCTGCAGCAGCTCCAGTTGCACAACAGGGTTCTGGTTAACCCCTTTCTGCACCAATTTTGGCATGGTGCTCAAAATCTCCTACTTCTGGCCAGGCTGGAAGGGCTATGTAGACAAACATTGCCATTTATTCATTCCAGTGATTTATCCCAGGGTCAGGGAAGCAGCAGAGATCTGCTGGCTTCTCTCAACCAGATAACCCATGCTGCTGAGCTGAGGGGGGAAACCTGATTTTGCAAATTGGCCTGTCCTGTGGCAGGAAGCAGAGCTCTGGCATGCTGAAGAGGCCCCTGCCAGGTGCAATAGCCCCTGAAACCTTCCATGTGTGACACCATTGAGAGTCCCCATGTCCTGCTGCTGTCTGTCCATCTTGGGGTGACAAACAAACAGAGGGAACATGCCTTCACCAGTTGTGGCAGGAACTCTTATGTGTGGAATCAAAAGGAACTATTTATTTTCTCAGCCAGGTTTAGGATTACTTTTGAACAATTTTTTTTTAAAAAGCCAAATTCTTTAATAGCAGGTGAGGACATAATTTTGACCAGATGCCAGTTCTTCATAACTAACACTATAGCTTCTTTAGGAATGAAAGTATGTTGTCCCATACCTTCAAACTCATTAATCTTTGCTGAATTTTTTCCAGAGCTTGCCCTCTGCCCACTCAAACAGCTAAAAGATAGACAGCCCCTTTGCCAAGTAAATGACACTCTCAGTGCTTTGGAGTATGTGTCTGTTTGGACTTAGGTTTTGGCTTTGCAGTGAATTTCATGCAAGCCCTAGACACATTTTTAAGCAGACTCATTAACAGGCAGTACTAGAAGAGGAATTTGGAGGTTTGGAACTCAGTGTTGGTTTTTTTTTTTTTTTTCTTGTCTGTACAGTGAAGAATTTCAGTGCTTGTTCAAAGCTGTTTCACTTTTTCAAAAGCTGAGCAGCCCAAACCCTCACATCTTTTGAAGTGAGTTGCACTCCCAGGTCACTAAAAAGGAGGTTTTGAAAATCTGGTGCCTGCTGCTACTCTGAGAGGTCCCTCATTTGAGAATCCAGGCTGGCCTTCCACAGCAGGCCTTTATTCTGGATAGAAGGTGGTTGCACAGTGTGTGAGGTGGCTGCAGTAGCTTCCCAAGGCTTGCCCTCAGTGTCACATCTCCAAAGCCTCATCTGCACCTTGCTGGGAGAGAAAAGCAGCTGCCTTCCTGCCAGCTTCCAAACTGCAACAGGAGCAGTGCTTAAAAAAAATCTCCAAGACCAGAGATAATGCAGGCAAGGGGAAGAGACAGATGGAAAACTAGGAAAAAAAACCAACCCTCCAATAGTCTCTTGTAAGTGGAGAGGATTTAAGGCAAACTGTGCTCCTTGACAAAGGGGAGTGGAAGGAAAGGTGGCTGGTTTACAACAGGCACCTCCTTTCTGTGGGTGAAAGGAAGCATTCAATTGCCTTGTGGTGAAATGCTTTTGGCTCTGGACTGGGGTGGAGCTGAGGCACCCACACCCAGAGCCTGGGGCTGGCTGTGCACAAGTGCAGAATGATAAGGCACCTCCTGAGCACAGCAGTCTGGACCCTGCCAAGAGCCTGTGTGAGCTCCAGAATCCATCAGTGTGACATCACTCTGCACCTCGCAGGGCGTGGGGAGCACGGCCTGCTGTTCCCTGTGAGCTCAGAGGGAGTGGGGATTGAGCACAGCCACCTGAGCCCTGCCTGTGCCTGTGGGGACACAGGGCTGGTGCTGCCAGACCCTCAGCCAGCTGCTTGGGAGCAGGAGGAGCTCTCCCTGCTGGAGCTGACAGAGTGTGTGTGCTGGGCTGTTGCTCTCAGCCACTCCTGGGGCAGCCTTTCTCTGCAGCCTGCACAGAAAATTGCCCCATAGCTGGGAACCAGCTGCCTGCTGCTCCCTAGTGTCACCCAGGCTTCCCCATGGGTGTCTTGGGGCAATACTTCAATCAATCTTATTTCCTCATCCACCAGCACATCACCTCGTGTCAGGTGCCTGTGGGAGGCAGGCACTGCTTGGCACAGAGGAGTTTGGAAAATACCAGACGGATTTTGACTGTATGTTCTTAGAAGGCTAATTTATTATTTTATGTCCTATATTATGTTAAATAATACTCTACTAAACTATACTAAAGAATAGAGAAAGGATACAGACAGAAGGTTAAAAAGGTACTAATGAAAATTTGTGACTCCTCAGAGTCTGACGCAGCTTGGCTCCAGAGCTGTTTGTTGCATTTTTTTCCCTCAGGATACTCTCCTACAACAACTTGACGAGGCTGGACGAGGGAAGCCTGGCAGACCTTGGGGGACTGCACGTGCTGCGGCTGAGCCACAATTCCATCAATCACATTGCAGAAGGGGCTTTCAGGGGACTCAAAAACCTCCGTGTCCTGTAAGTTGCTCTCAGCTTTTGTCAGACCACACCCATGTTCCCTCCACAGTTTGTGTTCTGACAGGTGGTTCTGCTTTGAAGGTGCTTTGGGTGCCCATGTCTGGCAGTTTCAGGTTCCTGAAACTGCCAGACCTCAGCTGACCAAAAATCCCTGAGGTCTTATTCCTGCAGCTAATAGCAGTATTTCTCTTGCTATCATATTGACTTTAATTGAAATTCTTAGAAAACCTTAGCTTCTTTTGGAAAGAAAGAAACTCAGAAGGAGCGGGGAATGATTCCTTCCACTGACAACACTGGAAATTTGAATATCCTCTTAAATGTGCTATTGAACACTTCTGTGTTGTTACTTATTTTTTGTACTGAACATTATATATAAAATTTTGATTAAATATAAAATTATTATTATAAGATGATGTTAATAAAAAGACAATTGGAAAACAAAGTAATGTAGAGGTTGGGCTTGGTGTCTGACTGTATCAGAAGTGTAGCAACACATGAAGCTTCACCCAGCCTTCAGTCCAGTCATAGAAATAAGAAGCTTTTGCAGGTACCATGCAAATAAGCAGAAGTCTTTAATGCATTTGGGTCCAGGAAACATTCTGTGCTCTGATTTTCATGGGAAACCCTGAAAAACCAAAAAGTTGCCAAGGGCAAAGTTTTGTGAGCCCTAGTACTGAATTGCAGAAATTATCCATCCAGTGCTGGCTGTGGCCATTTACCACAGACTTTTATTTTAAAGCCACTGACACAATGTAATACCTGGAAATGTGATACTGCAAATGAGCTTGCCTAGTCCAAATACCAGCCTGTAAGGTTTTAGGAGCAGTAGAGCCCATTAGACAGATCAGTGTGACCTCCTGTGGGATGCAGTTGTGTTTATTTGTGGGACCCCTGATGAGGGAAGGAAGGAATGATGAATTTGACTGTATGTTCTTAGAAGGCTAATTTATTATTTTATGTCCTATATTATGTTAAATAATACTCTACTAAACTATACTAAAGAATAGAGAAAGGATACAGACAGAAGGTTAAAAAGGTACTAATGAAAATTTGTGACTCCTCAGAGTCTGACGCAGCTTGGCTATAATTGGCCATTAAGTCAAAACAATTCACAGCAGAAACCAATGAACAACCAGCTGTTGGTAAACAATGTGTAAACACATTCTAAAGCAGCAAAACACAGGAGAAGCGAATCAGATAATTATTGTTTTCCTTTTTCTCTGAGGCTTCTCAGCTTCCCAGGAGAAGAATGCTGGGCAAAGTGATTTTTCAGAAAATATGGCAGTGACACAGTTGTAGCATTTTTGCTGGGCAAAGAGATTTTTCAGAAAATATGACAGTGACACAGTTGTAGCATTGTACCATTACACACTGAGAGCTGTGTGAGACTGAAGTACATCTGGGCTTGTCTTACGAACATCAGAAGATGGGGATCCAGTTCCATTCCTGCAGCTGTGTTGCCTCTGTCTCCCTGCTGGAACCTGCAGGGCTGCTGGCTGCTCTCCTCCTCTGGGAGCTGCAGGCTCAGCACCTTCATCTGGCACACCACAGAGTTCTCACAGCCCTTGTGACAGCACCAGACACGTTCCCAGGCTGGTTGGGTTCAGCAAACTGATTTAATTCTTCCTTCAAAAGAAAAAAACACACTTTGATACTTTTATTCCTCTTCAGAAGCCCATTGTGGCCCGAGTCATTAAAAGGAAATGGGAACAGAAAAATCTCCCCTCTTTACAGTACTTTTTGCATCTTACTCTTTTCTTTACTGAAGTTCATAGTGAAGGAAGTGACTGGAAAGTGAGTTTGGGTTTTGTTTGCTTTTTTTAAACTTAAGCCAAAGCCTTTCAGCCACTGGGCATTGAGAAAGGGACTTCTCTGAGGCAGCTGTCAAGACCGGAACTAAAGGTTTCCAAAGAAAAATGGAGGGGAAGGGAAGCTGGTCCTTCTCTTTGCTCTGCAGTGAATGTGGAGCCTCTTTTATGTCCAGGGCAGAGGGGGGGAGGTGGAGAGGGGAGTGTGTGAGCGAGCTCTAATTTAATAAAGAGAAAGGCCTATTGGGTCCTGCACCTGGTGAAAAAGAGCTGAGCATGCTTTAATTATGGGCTATTGTTGGGGAGCCTTTGGTGGGTGTGAAACTGCTGAAATGTGGAGCTATTCAAATAGAGGTCAGGCCGGAGACCTCTGAGCACAATGATTAACAAGGCTGCGAGCATTCAAGCTCAGCCAGCCAGAAAGAATAGGAAATTGGCAACAGGGGCTGGGAGAGGAGTTGGGATACAAAGAGAGCTGGGCCAAAATACCCCACTCTTTTTTTCTCCCTCTCTCTTATTTTCACTCATTTGTTAAAAAGGTTTTTTATTCCTCCTTTCTAACACTAAACCTTTGAGTTGCCACTGGATGAACAAGCCAATACCATTTTCTTTCCCTTTTTCAAGAAAACACAATGTGTGGCAGTCAATTAATAAAAGTGTGTGTCAGAGCTCCTACAGCCTGTTCCCACTTGTCTGTCTCTGCCATGGGAAAGGTTTTGCTGCTCCAAAGACCAGTAACCCGTGGTGAAACTGAAGAGGAGAAATGTCTGAGAAGGGATTTTCCCTTAAAAAACAAACAGAACAAGGGACATTGGCTTGGCAAGCGTAGGGAAAATGTAGAAACTGAGCTCCAGGAGGGTGGATTTGCTCCTGTCCCACTAGGATGGTGCTGGAAATGCCAGCACATCAAAGCGTTCTCCTGGACTCATCTCTTGGCCCCCACAGCATTATGTGTGCCCACACCCCACGGGGATGTTGAGGTTTTGTCCGTGCCTTTGGTACAGAGCAGCCCCCAGGTCACCCTGACATCCACAGTGATGCTGGCTAAGGCCAGGGCTCTCCAGGGACATAAGATTCAGGTCTCAAGCTTAAGCCAGCTGAGAAACAGGAATTGTGGCTTTTGGCCATCTCCCTTCACATCTTTAGTTCACCCTAAAGCAGAGAAAGGAGCAAAGACTGAGCCAGCTGAGGGAGAACATTCCCATATTGAAACTGGGGCTTTTTTTAAAATTTGTTTTCCCTTCCTGTGAGTTACTGTGTATTTGTGCTGCCCAGAAGCCACACTGTATTGCCTCTGTCTGGAAATGCAGGGGGACTTGGTTTTTCTTTTGTGTATTTGTGCTGCCCAGAAGCCACACTGTATTGCCTCTGTCTGGAATGTTGCAAAATGCAGGGGGACTTGGTTTTTCTTGATTTGGTCTTAATATTTTTTTATCTGGAAACATTCTGATACTCATCTTCAAAAGGTGTGAAAGGAGTACCTGAGGGCTCAGGGGTTATCTGGATGCTGAAGTTTGCTTTGGTGCTGTGTTTTGCCAGGTTTTAAATCTGAGTGATGTAACAAAACCAACAAAGCCTATTTAGTTTTTCTTTCTTTTTACTTAACATTGGAAATGATGAATTTCTGTCTGTGTTGCTGGGTATTCATTGCTAGCTGGATTTAAAAGCTGGGAGGGAAGGATTTTTAAACAGTCTGTTTAAACAGCTTTTGTGGATCTCTGTGTTTGTTCTGTGTGCTTGTTTTTCTTCAGACCTCTTTGACTCTTATAATTGATGGTCAATTTGAAAGCCAAAAGAAGCTAACTCTGAAAAAGGAATTCTCTTGGTTTTTTTTCAAATGGTTATACAGAGTTAGGCTGGTTAGTGATGCTGGCACTTTCCTTTGTTGAGTTTTCAAGTTCATTGCCAGAAAAAATGCAGCTTTGTAGAAAATATGCCAAATCATCTTCCTAAGATTCAGCTATAGACAAATACATAAACACACTGGAATACCCATAGTGATCTTATTTCATGGTAGCAGCATTTAAGGACAGCTGTTTCTTTCAGTTTAATTTTGGCACTTTATTTTCATTTTACTCCTGTTTGGATGTGCAGAACTAGAAAAGGACAGAAACCTACTTGGTAAAAAGTAGCTGTCTCAGAGGGTTTCAGCTAGGAACAAGCCAGAGCTCTGGAATGCACCATGTGTGGGCAGGAGAAGTGATTGGTGCTGCTTTGCTGCAGGACTCTGCATTTTCTGGTGACTGTCAGGGGAAAATGGGCAGCTCTCATGTGGCACTCTCCAGCTTTGTCCACTTGTTTGTAACAGTGACATTGGGACTAAGTTGCTGATTCTGAGCTCTCTCTTGTCCTCTCCCCAGGGAACTGGACCACAACGACATCTCAGGCACAATAGAAGATACCAATGGAGCCTTTACAGGCCTGGAAAACCTGAGCAAGCTGTGAGTATCCCTGGGCTTGAATTCTGCAAGCCAGTTTTGTTGTGTGCCTGTGTGGGGTTGGGTCTGTCCCTTTTCATGCAGCCTCTCTCACCTTGGAACAAGAGAAAGAGCAACAAAAAATCTGAGCTGTGGTAGTTTTGCAGGCTCACTGCAAGAGTGCAAATGTGGTTTTCAAGCACTGATGTTTTTAAGCAGGTATGGGGCAATTATTTCCTTTCTAAATGGTGAACAGACGGTGCCACATACTGCAGTTCAGACACAGAGAGAAACTTAAGCTGTTTTCATGTATAAAATTCAACCATTCCTCACTTCTAAAAGCAAACAAGCGACCAAAAACGACCCCTTTGCAATCTCCAGTGAGGCACTGATTGATGCAGCAAATAACAATAAACAGAAGAGAAAAATCACCCCACTTCCTGTTACAGCAGAGGATTGAAACAGGACTCGTTTCTGTGGGATACTCTTTCTGAGAGTGATCTTTTGGGCTCAGTTCCATGTGCAGTGACAATAAAAGGCACCATGGGGCACAGGCTCTTGAAGAGATAAAAAGAATCCCAAGGCAAGCATGCGCCTTGCAAATGTTTATGGCTTGCTTGGCCTTCGCCAGGGTTTCACATTGCTCTGTGCAATCCCCGTTCCATTTGAAATGGGTGCTATAAATCAGCCCTGTCAGAGGAGTCTCTGATGGCTTGTGACAAATCAAGAGTCTCTAATCATTACCTCTTGCCTTTGTTGAAGTTCTCAGTGCCCCCCGTGCCGCTGTCTGTGCTGCTGGGATGGCACAGCCAGAGGTGCAGTAAAAGCACCTCGATGGAGAGCAGATGGCTGCAATGAATCCTGGCAGGAGGAGGGATATTGTCACACTCTCATCAGAGACTCCTCAGGGAGCAGGATGAGCCATGGCAGGGATTGTGAGGATGCAGTGCTTAGAGGAGACAAACCTGAAATCACAGACAGAGATGGCATTTGGTTGTTGCTGAAGAGAGTCGCTGGGTCCATGCAGAGGGGACCAAGTTGCAGCTGCCAGTAAAGTGGGGCAGAAGGCAGAGGAGGATTTAAGGACAGGGGGAGCCAGGCAGGGAAGCAGAAGCAGTGTGGGGGTGAGAGGAAAGTCAGTAAGAATTGCTGTGCATGCAGAGTCAGGGAATCTTCCCATGACTGCCAGAAAAAAAGCAGAGGAGCAGATGTGGTGGGTAGAAGAGTCCTTGGCTGCCTGACTGAAGTGTTTGGTTTGTCTGAAGAAACGAGTGAGACCATGTGAGCAGCTGGAAGGATGAGGGGAGCAGAGACTCTGTCCAGTGGGATTTGCAGCCTGTGAGGATTCTGCGTCTGTAGTACTGCTTTGACAGGGCACAGAAGGTGGTGGAAAGGAGCAGACAGAGCTGTCCTGGTGGTGCATCCCTCCAACAGGGCCACAGGCATGGGAGCAAAACCAGCAAAACCTGATCCCAAGTGATCGTTAGAAATGCTGGGTGCAGATAACAGAGTGGTGAAAAATCCAGAGGAGACAGCATGGAAGGAAAGAGCTCAGCAGAAGGATTGACTTGGAAAGCAGGAGCAGTGAGCCCTGATGAGGTGTGGGGGTCAGGCAGAGGCCAGGAGGAACAGCAAGGAGCAGGAGGAGGAAGGAAGGGAGCAGGGGCAGCCTGTGGGGTTATGTGCTGGGAGCTCTGGGCACAGCAGCTATTGCTCTCCCCTGTGAAATGCCGTGGCCTGATGTGATGTTTGTCACCCAGCACAGGGAGCACCTCCAAAAGGTGCCTGGCTTGGGCTGCCAGTAGCCAAGGATGCACTAAGGGCTTGTGCAAGTCTAAGGGAGTTGGGTTTATGTCTTTCTTTCCTTTGTTGACTGATGCCTGTCATTGCACGTGGACTCAGGCCAGCTCTGAGGTGAGGCTGGCGGAGGGATGTGTGCAGGGAAGGTTTCTGCAGGGATTGCAGCACATTTCTTAGCCTGGAAGAGCATGTGGATCAGGTTGGTTTGGGGCAGAGAGGAGTGGTTTGATTACTTAACAGAATGAGCTGCTGTGGGACAGACAACTTGCTGGGATTATTCACTGTCAGCCAGAATGTAAGGCTAAAAAACACTTAAACATAAAATTATTTTATTTTTATTTCTGGAGGCGTTTTGAGAATACTTGTGAGTGGTCACTTTTAAAGGGATCTCCTCAGAACTGTTTTAGCTTATCAGCACATAAATCCCAGACTGGTGATTTCTAAGGCTGAACTGAGTATCAGGATTTTTTTGTAAATAAAAGATCAGCCCTTTCAGCAAACATTTCACTGTGTGATTTAGGGCCTGTGTTTAAACCGTCAGCCTCTTTAAATGCATTAGCATACAAAAAATAAATGGGCACTTCAGAGGAGACCTTCCAATGAATTAATAATCACCTCAGCTCTGTGGAGATTGCCTTAAAAGCCATTCCCCTTTGATCTGGCACAGATTAGCCTCTGAAAGGATTTAGCACAGAGAGGGTTGTTCGCTGACATGAAGGTGTTAAACAGAGATGGAGAGGCCAGTCACTTTAGCCTTCTCTGAATTATATATGAAGCTCTCCAGGATGGAGAGCACAGGCCTAAATTAAAATGTTGCTTGAAGAAAGAGGGAGTTGAGAAGCACTGAAGCATAAAAAGCACCGGTGGAATCACTGTGGAACAAGGAGGTTCCTAATTATTCAAGCTGCTAAATGTAACCAGCTTTTTGATGGCTCACTCAGCGAGATCTTCCTGCAGGTGCAAAACTGGCTGGAGGAGAAAACACTGCAATGAATTGTGTGCTTGGCATGTAATTACCCTGGTGCAGTCTCCAGGAGAGCTTGTGCTTGGCTCTGCCCCGTGGAGGAGGTTCAGGCCAGCAGTGGGATGGCTAATTGTGGCTGTGTTCGGCTGCCTTCACATTCCAGCCTTCACAGCCCTTTGATGGGGGCCTCTAGGTTCAAACTCTCAGATTTCTAGAGGCACTTAATTGAAATTAGTTGCAAGGAGTAATGAGTTTGCTGAGGCCTGACTTGTTGTGTGTGTTAGGTATTTCTCATGTCCAGGCATCGTGCTGTGTGCACCTACACAAGTGGTGTAGCTGTGTATTCCCTTCCCCAGGTGCACTCCTTATCTCTGCACAGATAACTGAACAGATATCTGCAGTATCTCCAATTTTCAAACACCAAAATCTATTGAACAGTAATAGAAATCTGCAGCTATCAAACCCAAGCTCAGCATAATTTTTTCAGCAGCAGTTGCCCATCTAACTTCCATTACAATCATAAAGGTTGGAAAAGGTATTTAGGATCATCAAGCCCAACCATTAACCTAGCACCATCACCATGTTCATCATTAAACCATGTCCTGGAGTGCCACATCCGCATGTTTTTGAACAATTCCAGGGATGGCGACTCTGCCACTTCCCTGGGCAGTCTGTTCAATGCTTACAATGCTTTCTCTGAAGAAATTTTTCCTAAAATCTAATCTAAACCTCCCCTGGCACAGCTTGAGGCCATTTCCTTTAGTTCTTATTTTATCCTTACCTTGTCCTTATATCACAGGAATATGGCTGCAGAAATCAGTATGTATGGATGCAGCCATTTGATCAGAGTTTACATATAATAAATTATTTACTGTATTAATCATTCTAATGGATTTTTCAAAGCCTTCATTAATGCAACATCCCTTTTACCAAATGCTGACACACATGACTGCACACATCCTTTGGTGCTGAGGGTATTTGAGACTGGGCTTTCCTGCATCCAGTATATAACCAAATTATCCTGACATTTGAAAAGTGCTTTGTGGAAAGCATTGACAAGTTCATGGAAATGTATTTGCTTGTGGAATGGCTGCACATGCTCCATCCTGTACTCCTTTCCCTGGCCAGTAAGCAAGCAGTGGGGCCATCATAGTTTTAAGTCTTTTTGGGGTGCTGATAGTGCCTTCACACCCTATACTGAAGGACAGCTCTTGAATGAAAACTCAAAATCAAATGCAGCACCAGATGTGCCCTTTTTTCATCTGAAGTGCCCTGAACCACCACGTGGTGATAACAGATGCACCTGGAGGATAAACCTTAGAGGGAGCCTGGGGAAGAAAGCAGTTCCTAATTAATGACACTGGTTGATGTTTTATTAAAACAGGTGAGAGGACTATCCATTTGGCACAAGCCCTGCCCCTGGCCATCAGCACTGGTCAATATTTATGGAGAACTGTTGCTCTGGAGATGACAGCTGGGCTGGGATCTCTCCAGCTGGCTGTTTTCTGCTGATAGCCCCCTCGTGCCACTGCTGATTCAGAGGAATGCTCTCTGGTCACAGATGCAAGCAAGCCCACTCCTCTGCTCTGCACATTACCTGCTCTGCCTTTTTCTCCTTGCAGTTATCCCTTGGCTCTGATCTGTTGCACCATGTTGCTTTGCTGTTGCATTTATCAGGAAGGAACGAGCAGTGCCTCCAAGTCAGCTGCTGTGTGAATGTGCAGCCCTGGGGCAGCCCTCAGCTCTGTGTGCTGATAGCTGCTCGGGCCAAGCACCAGGGAATAAATCACCACTCTCCTTCCTGTCTGGGTAGAAGTCAGAAATGAAAAGTTTGTGGGGAGAAACCAATATCTTGTTAAACTGTCACTGCACTTAATCCTGTCCACAGCCAGCCTGTGAAGAACAGAGGGGACCTTCTGTTACTCAGCAAGCTGGTTCCCAAGCACAGGAGCAAACCTGCCTTTTTACATGATATGGCACATTCCCTTTTGCGCTGTCATCACTATTAAATTCAAATACAGATAAAAGGATTTAATTTCAGGAGCAGGAAAGCGAGTGTGCTTCAGCCCTCTTAATCTCTGTGCAGTTCAGATTTCCTAGGACTTACACTGAGTGTGTATATCAGATAAAGCCACACTAATTGTGTTCCTTTTTTTTTTTCTTTTTTTTTTTTTTTTTTTTTTTTTTTTTTTCCCCTCTCTCCCCCCATTTTCTTTCATTTATCTGGCACTGGATGTTTGGAAACTGCAGAACTCTGTTTGGAAACAAGATCAAGTCGGTGGCCAAGAAAGCGTTCTCAGGGTTGGAGGCTCTGGAGCACCTGTGAGTAACCCACCATGCCTCAGAGTTTGGGAAGGGGGGTCTGCCAAAAGTAGCTGCTTGAGAAATCTGCTAGCAATTTAATAGTGTCTTTGTAAACTGAGAAGCCAGTCCATTTGTAGGGGCCACCTGCTTCCTTCTCATTATAAGTCCACCTCAACTTTGGCCTTTTTTTGTGCCAGGAACAAAGTTATAGAACATATGGGAAATTTGCATGCTCTTAATTTTTGAGAGTATCACCTTGATTTTCACATTAGTGCTTTGCAGGCTGTTAGCCATGAAGAGGCTGGTGCAGGCATAGCACTCTCTCCTCCTTTGCCCCAGCTCCCTCCTGAACCCAGGCTCTGGCAGTGACACGTGTTACAGATGACTGGGTTTGATGCATCCCCACTGAACATGCCCATTCAGCACAACCCCCTTAGAGCCATTTGCAAGAAGTAAATTTTGGCTGCCTCTGTGTAATTTTTTTCTGTGTCCCAAGGCTGATGACTCCAGCAGTGATTCATGAATAACCTCCTTTCTTGGATTAAGACAAGTTGAAGTATATGTGACTGTGCTCTACATGTTTTATTGGCTGTTGATTGTATGAAATGTTATGGCCATCAAGAGCACACTGAAAGATTTGGGCTGCCTGACTGGGAGTACATTCCCAAATAAAGGTGCCCTTAATTCTGTACTGAAATTGTCCTCTTTAGGCAGTGCTCATCTGCCCTACAGGTCACTCAGTAAACTTCAGCCCTAAATCTGACACTGTGCTTTTTCAGAGAACAATTTTTTTAATTAGCAATAGTTGTAAGGGAAGCCTTTAACCCCTTCCTTTGGAGATACTGGGATTTTTTTAAAACAGTATCCTCTCCAAGTCACTTTCAAATAATTCCTCAGATGCTGCTTAGTGCAAGTATTTGCTTTCTTTTATGTTTGCTGAAGGTCTAGCCTGGGGTACCACATTCCTGACTATCTTTGGTTATTGAGGGGGCTGAGGAATTTCTGAGCTATGGATGATGGAGGTAGCTCAGACTGAGAAAATGCAGTGAGAAGATGGGGTAGGGAATGACTTAGTGATTCAGTTAAGTGTAATTTTTGTTGGCTGGCTATTGTTCAGCTATGCTTTATTAATACAAAGGTGTTTCGAGGAACATTTCTATGTGCTGTAAGTGCTGAAGGCCTTAACAAGGAGCTACCAAATCACCTTTTACTTGAGTTATTGCTTAAATCAGTGTGGAGAGGCTCTGTCCCAGCCATGGCATCTCTTTTGCTGACACTGCCTGTGGTTGTGCCTGCAGGAACCTCGGGGCCAACGCCATCCGCTCCATCCAAGCTGATGCCTTTGCCAGGATGAGGAGCCTGCGGCAGCTGTGAGTGATTGCCCTGCTCACACCCCCCTTGGGCAGGAGGGATCCTCCTGGCCCTGCACCTGAGCAGCAGCACATTATCCACATTGCCACTCATTCATTTCCCCCACGCCTGCATCCTCCTCTGTGGGGTGTTTTTACACACGAGGAGCTGTCATTGCATGTAATAGTGAGTGAAATTAGATCATGGGGACAGGTTCTTCCAGCAGGTTTGTGCCTGTGCAATTATTCATCTCCAGGAAGTCCAGCCCTGCTCCTGTTAGCCAGCTCTCCTGCTACGAGCACCAGGGATTTAATTCCCATCTGCTCCCTTGCTGCTCCTATGTTTAGGGTTCACACACAGGACTGATACTGCAGTGATAAGCACCATTTGAACTGCATCCACTTGTCATTCAGCCTTCTGGTGTAAAAATACAGATGTGTTATCAGAGCTGCTGCTTGTGCTCCAGGCTGGGGCTCTGCACTGTTATCAGACACTGTTTCCAGTCTTGCCTGGTTTCCTTTTCTCTTCTTCCCCATGAATATTTAATCCATTGTCAGTGTGTTGGTATGCCCCAGAGTAGTGCAGTGTCTGTGGAACACAAAATCATTTATTTGGTATTTGGGCAGGTACAGGTTCTTGCTCCTGACATTGGAAATGGGAATCAGATGGTCACTGCTGGTAGTGACACTTGATACTAGTGACAGGCAGTGAAGAAGATAAACACTGTGTGTCTGTTGTGTGATTAAAAACGTTATCTTCTGCACTGGCACTTGCAACAAAATTGAGATGAAAGACTGATCCTATTAGGAAGAGATAGTGAGATCCTAGATAATGTGTGAAGGAATGTTTATAAACTGGAGAAGTTCAGCTAGAGGACATTTACATGCAGAATGCACTGTGCTGAAGGATCTCCTGACCTGTCCCAAGTAGCCAGGAGGGTTTTATGCCATCATATGTGTTAGAGGCTACACATCTTTCTAGAATAGGAAAGTGGACAGCTTTGAAAAGTCAAATCCCTATATTCCCTCCCTCTCCAGTCAATTTCTTTCTTTTTCCCTTCCCTGCTCATTTTGAACTTCAGGATTTCCTGAGGTATTGGGTAGAAAATTAGCAAGATATTCACATCTTATAGTGCAGTGCTGGAGTTGGGATTCTGCTGTGCTCTTGATACCCTGCTCTTGCATAGCTTGTAGGATTGCAGGACAGGAGCTCTCTCTGGAGCACTTTCCCAGTCTCTGAGGCATCCTCCCATTCAATTCCAAGGATCAGACTGAGTTTTGCAAACCAGACCAAAGTATGAATGCCCTGTTTGTGTAAATGTACAGTTCTTCACTGGCCTTAGAGCTATGCTGAGCCATAATTTGGCCCAGAATATTAAAAGGATCCCACATTAATCCCAAAGCTCCCCTGTTCTTTGCTCCTTTTCCACACCTCTTTTCCTAACGGAAGGTGCTAAGCTAGTGTTGGATCAGAGAATTACAGAATCCTACAATGGTGGGGTTGGAATTCAGGATACTGAGAAATGTTTATGTGTTTTGTTTTCCAGACTAGTTACTGTTTCTGTGGGGTTTACACAAATACATTTGGTCATTTCTCCTCTACTGCTGCTTCTAATCAGTAAACACAACTCCAGGGTCACCTTATGGAAGGCAGGGTCTCTCTGCTTACTGCTCTGCCATGGAGGGAGCTCGAGGCCTTTCAGTGGGAGCTGAGTGTCCTCTCTCTCTGGTCAGCAGTTAAATGCTGAATTTGGTCCCCACCAAAGGCTCAAACCACAGGGGCAGAGCAGGAGCCCATTGATGTGTCTTGTCTGTTCCTGGGGATCACTCTGGGAGCTGTTAATAATTACCAGGAGCTGCAGAGTGTCACTGCAGTACAGGAGGGGGTTTCTCTAGTGGAGATGAAATGCTGCGTAAATGTGTCATGCCTGTAACATCTTTAGTGCCTCAAGGACATCCCTGCAGTCCTTTTTCTTCCTTCCACCCATGCTGGGGAGGCAGGAGGAATGTGTTCAACATGAAAGGGCTGTGAGTTTCCCAGCCTTCCCTCCGTGCAGGACTCACAGCAGGCTGGTGTTGGTTTTGTTTCCCTGCAGCCACATTAACAGCGACAGCTTCCTCTGTGACTGCCAGCTGAAGTGGCTGCCCCAGTGGTTGGTGGAGAAGGAGCTGCAGTCCTTTGTGGTGGCCACCTGTGCCCATCCTGAGTCACTGAAAAGCAAGAGCATTTTTGCCATCCAGCCAGAGAGTTTTGTGTGTGGTAAGTCTTGCCTGCGTGTTTTGAGGTTGTATGAAGGGTAGGAGTCACTTGGGAAACATTTTCTTTGAGTACCAGCATGTTATTACGAGAGGGTTTCTGTTTTGTTTTGTTATTCAGTGGGATCAAAGGAAGCCCAAGCCTGCATTTAAAAAATTTGTCATTGGCTACAATTTATTTCCCACTAAAACCACACAGTGCATTGCTTGCATCCAGAGTATTCCTTACAGGGCTCCCTGAATATTAAATCAAAAGGGACTAAGGCCTGTTCCACTTCCAGATGGGGCTGCACAAACACTTCCCCAGTCCTCTGTGTTTGGTAGTATCAAGACTGCAGCTGTAATGTTTTTCCTTCTGCAGTGTTCTAAGCTTTTCTGTGGATTTGTGTTCTTCACCCATCCTTTCTCCATCTTGGAGACAACAAAGAGTTAAAAACAAAACCCAGAGGAGAATCCCCCCATCAAAGCTGCCTCTTTGGGGCCAGTAAGGCCCACCCAAATACTGCAGTTGACTCTGCACCTGAGCTATGGTTTCAAAGCACACATAAACATCTACTGCCTTTCTCATAATGAAAAAGAAATTTAAATCATCAGAAGAGGCCAGATCAGTGCTGCTCAGGCATCCAGATTTTGGGGAAAAGAAAGGCCTGGTTTGGGAGCCAAGCCCTGTGCAGTGGAGCGAGCCAGTGAGGATCCTGGGTGGAGCTGCACATGGCTGTTTGAAGGAAAAATGAGCTTTTGCAAACACTATTTAACTGAGCTGAATGCATGACTTGCACTGCACACGGAGCAGAAGCTTTGTTCCAGTGTCCCTCCTGATCCCCCAGTGACAGGCTCTGCCTAGGTGGCCTCTGTCTGAGCAGGCTGGGAGGGAGCCTTGCTGTGCTCATCTGGAAGAAGAGATCCTGAAAGCTCCATCCCCACAGCAACATCACAAAGCAAAAGCAGCTTTGCTTCCCAGTGCCTGCCAAGTCCTCCAGGCACTAGTAGTCCTGGTTCCAGAGGCCTGGCTGTTTAATTAAACCTTAGTCAAATATTAAATTACACCATTTGTAGAAACCTAATAAATGAATCTGCTTGGAACCTTGCTAAAACCAACAGTCTTCAGGGCAGAGAGAGAGTGTGCAAAGCTTTCCACCCTGGTCGGGTGACAGGCAAATACAGCTGCTTCTGCTTTGACAGCCTGGGCTGCATCATGGAGTCCTTTAGGCTGGAGAAGACCTCTAGGATCTTTTAACTTTAACTTACCATTAACTTCCTACAGCCAAACACGCCACTAAACCACATTGATACATCTTTTAAATACCTTCAGGGATGGTGACTCCACCACCTCCCTGCTCCCTGGGCAGCCCGTTCTTGTGCCTGACAGCCCTTTTGGGGAAGAAATGTTTCCTACTTGCTAATCTAAACCTCTCCTGGCACAACTTGAGGCCATTGCGTCTTGTCTTGTTGTCTGGGAGACCAATCCCCACCTCACTAAAACCTCCTGTGGGCAATTTTCCGTGGAGGTGACACTTGCAGCCTTTTAAGTGCCCTCTCCCCTCCTACTTCATGCCAGTACAGGTCTGGAGGTGAGGTTTTAAGTTCAGTCGTGCTCTTCATGCTTGGATTGTACAAGGAAGGACAACCTGAATATGGTCTGAATATCTTCTTCAGACCATAGTATCTTTCTCAGATTCAGTTGGTGAAGGAGCTGGGTGTCTTGTAGGTGTCTGAGGTCACTCAGTGACCATCTCAGCCCCCTGAAGGGACCAGAGGAACCACAATCCCACATAAACCAACGACTCAGTGGAGCTGTGCGTGGCACACCTGCTCTACAGGGCATTGCTTATTTCTCATTTCACCTCTTGGCTTGCTCCAGTCTCCCCTCAGAGTCCAGCACTGACTGTTGCTGCTGTTTCCTCCCAGACGATTTCCCCAAGCCACAGATCATCATCCAGCCCGAGACGACGGTGGCCGTCCTCGGCAAGGACATCCGCTTCACCTGCCTGGCGGCCAGCAGCAGCAGCTCCCCTATGGTGTTTGCCTGGAAGAAGGACAACGAGATGCTGCACAACGCCGAGATCGAGAACTTTGCGCACGTGCGGGCCAAGGACGGGGAGGTGATGGAGTGCACCACCATCCTGCACCTGCGGCACGTCACCTTCGCGCACGAGGGCCGCTACCAGTGCGTCATCACCAACCACTTCGGCTCCACCTACTCCAACAAGGCCCGGCTCACCGTCAATGGTGAGTGGGAACTGCTTGCTCTTCGTCTCCCCAGCCTGAGCTCAGGTGTGGTACAATTCTGTTGTGTTTGCGGGGTGCCCCGATGAAGGAAGGAATGATGAATCTGACTCCGCGTTCTCAGAAGGCTAATTCATTATTTTATGGTACTGTAATATATTAAAAAACGCTATACTAAACTATACTAAAGAATATAGAAAGGATACTTACAGAATGCTAAAAAGATAATGAAAACTCATGAATCTCTCCACACAGCTTGGCACTGATTGGCCAGAGTCAAAACAACTCACAGCAGAATCCAATGGAACAATTACCTGTTGGTAAACAATCTCCAAACACATTCCAGATGAGCAAAACACATGAGAAGCAAATGAGATAAGAATTGTTTCCCTTTTCTCTGAGGTTTCTCAGCTTCCCAGGAGAAAAATCCTGGGTGAAGGGATTTTCCAGAGAATGTGAATGCCACACAATTTCTTGCTCCCGAGGGTCCATTCCTGATGGTGAGCTCTCAGCCTCTGCACAGCAGCTGTTTGTATCTCAGTGGATGCTGGGAAATGCCCTGTGAGGAGCACACACCATTTTGGGTTGGCTGCCATCCAGCCAAGCACTTCAGCATGCGTGTTCTTAGCAGCTTGAACTGCTGCTCTTTGGCTGCTCAGGTAGATTCTTTGCCCAGTGAAAACAAAAATACAAAGGATGCAAAGAAGGGGGGTGTAGCAGTTGGAAGTTCTCTGTAGGACAGATAACAGATTTTTTTTCCCAAGTTTTCACAGAAGAAAATTAGCTTTGATCCCAGCTCTAATGATCTGAGTTGGGGGTGTCATGGGCTCTGCAGACAGGTGTGTTCTGTAGAAACACGGAGTCACTCCCCAGCAGTTCAGAGCTATCCCACAGAAGCACGTGGCCATCCTCCTGCCTGTGGCTAACTGTCACCTTAATCCCTCTGTGGGAAGGAGAACAGAACTGCCCAGAAGACAGCGTTTCCCCATGGAATCACTAATGCCCTTTGTTTGTTTTTCCTTCCTCAGTGCTGCCATCATTTATCAAAACCCCCCACGACATCACGAGCCGGACGGGGACGACGGCGCGGCTGGAGTGCGCGGCCGAGGGCCACCCGCCGCCGCAGATCGCCTGGCAGAAGGACGGCGGCACCGACTTCCCCGCGGCCCGCGAGCGCCGCATGCACGTCATGCCCGACGACGACGTCTTCTTCATCACCGACGTCAAGGTCGAGGACATGGGGGTCTACAGCTGCACGGCTCAGAACTCTGCGGGCTCCGTGCTCGCCAACGCCACCCTCACCGTGCTGGGTGAGATGCCTTCTAGCTTTTATGGTTTTCATGTGTTTGTAATCCTGCGGTTCTTCAGTGTACGACTCTAAACTCCATATAGAGTGTTAGCTGCTGTTCTCCCATTTTGGTCAGAAAAAGCAATTCCTCTCTAGGCCTGGGAATCAATGCCACCTCAGGCCCTGAGAGATGGAAACAACAGTCACTTGTGGGGGAAGCAAACTTGGGGTAAATTACTTCATTACCTGAAGCTGAAATTGGAAGATTAACCCCCAATATGTAAATGGATCAAACTGATAAAAGTGTGAAAACCCATGACCCATCATCCATTTTTGGGTGCAGTCCCTGGGGGCGCTTCATCTGCCCTAAATGAACCTGAAGGCCCTTCAATAAATATAACTGCTTTTATTCCCTTAATTTTGTCTGGCCTCTGTTGTTAGGTAGTCCCAAAAAGGCATCACCAGGGCCCCAGGAGGCCAAGTGCAAGTAGGAACTGGGAGGGATGGCCGTTAAGCTCTTTATCAGCTGCAGATAAAAGAGAGACAGAGTCAAATGGTCTGGTAGTCAGTCTTGTTTCATTCTTTTACACTGTAGTTCACTAATGAAAAATACCTGTAAAGTAAGAGAAGGAGCTGTAAGTCGCATCTCCTCTTGTGCTGAGGAAGCCCCTCCCAACAGTCTATTTGCTGTCTTGGACAACGACTTCAAAAGGAAATTGCACTTCATCCCTCTCACTCTGTGAAATAATTCACGTTTCAGCTGTTGGCCCACAACCTCAGAAGTTTCTTGTTGGGAAAACTTAACACCAGTTGGTTGCTAGATCTGTTGTGATGCGCAGCTGCCATATTCCTCAGCACGTTCCTGCTTTGCACAATGCTGTGTCTGCAGGAACACGAGGAACATCCAGCGCTGTTAAATCTGTTGTTACACTGTCCCTTAAAACTCAATTTCTGTGTTTGTTCTCCTGCAGAGACACCATCTTTGGTCCATCCGTTGGAAGATCATGTGGTGTCTGTCGGTGAGACCGTGGCTCTCCAGTGCAAAGCCACGGGGAGCCCCCCGCCCCGCATCACCTGGCTGAAAGGCGACCAGCCCCTGGTGGTGACAGAGAGGCACCACTTCACCTCGGGCAACCAGCTGCTGATCGTCAGGAACGTGGTGCTGGAGGACGCGGGGAAGTACACGTGTGAGATGTCCAACACGCTGGGCACGGAGCGCGCGCACAGCCACGTCAGCATCCTGCAGTCGCTGGGCTGCCGCAAGGACCGCACCACCGTGGGCATCATCACCATCGCCGTGGTCTGCAGCATCGTGCTCACCTCCCTCGTCTGGGTCTGCATCATCTACCAGACCAGGAAGAAGAGTGAAGAGTACAGTGTCACCAACACAGGTAGCTGCAGCATCCTGAGGCCCCCTCTAAGCTTTCGTGCTGCCAGACATCCCACCCAGGCTGAGCCGGCTCGTCAGGGAGCCTCACAATCCCCTGGAACTGCAGCTGGCTTATCTCCCTGGTTCTCCTGGGCTGGAACCACCTTTCACTTGCTGCTGAAGCATGTTCAGAGCTGCATTTCTCCCCTTGGCTTGCTCTTCAGGAAGGTCTTTTCCACTTGGCTGTAGTTCCAGCCATTGCTTTGCTGCTTTGGTTTTCCATGACCATAAATGATAACTCTTGAGACAGTCCGGGTGATGTCCGTGATGCTGGGAACCTGTCTTGGTTTTTGGAAATCTGTATTTTCAAAAACTTTGAAGTCAAAACTTGAAAAATTAGACTTAGAAGCTGGAATCCCTTTTTCCATGTTGGGTATAAGAGCTAGCCCTGGTGATGGGGGAGGTATCTGTGGCTTTTTAGAGGAAGAATTAGCACTTATTGCTTTCTCCTGATACTCAGAGGGGGTAATTTGGTCTGAAATAAGTGTTGCAGTGAGAATAAAGTCTCCTGCCCTCCTTATGCAGCCTCTGAACAAAACAGAAGTATGGAAGAACCAGACTAAGACTTTCCCAGCCTGCTTGGAATTTCCAGCCTTCCTACATTATGCTTAGCTTTAGATAGAGTACAAAAGGATTTTTAAAAACATGGGCTAGGTAGGAAGTCTTGGATAGCCTATTAGCAGTGTGATGTATTAGTGGGATTCTTTTATAATTCCCTTTTTTAGTCCTCAAAATCCAGGGCTTCGTGCCTGATATAATTGAGTTTCACTTGCTTTTGTGTGGCAAGGGAAACTGAAATTGCCTGATAGAAAATGGAGAAAGCCAAGAGGCTTAAGACTTATTTCCTGCTTAAGAGAATCAAACACCCTGTTATGCAGAATACTTTTACTCCTGACTTCAGGAGGCAGAAGACTTGAGTCAAAGGAGGGACTGAACTTCAGGGGAAAGAGAAGGATTTACTTATTCTGAATAAATAGTTCTACTCCATCTATTATGTACTGACCATGGCACATGCAAGCACTCAAAGTGCCTTTATCAGCACTCTCTCCCACAGTTTTAAGCTTTGAAAAGTCAGGAATGGGCTTCTGAGGGGAAAGGAATATTTATGCAGTTCAGTTTCCAGTGCACCTACAGAAAATGACCACTTCTAGATCTGGTCCCAAATCCCCCTTGAAACTATGAATTTCCTTTGAAAAATCCGCTGGGAGCTGACTTTTCCCTTCTCCCATTGCTCTAGATGAGACTATTGTGCCTCCTGATGTGCCAAGCTACTTGTCCTCCCAAGGGACTCTCTCGGAGCGCCAGGAAGTGGCCATTGGAGTGGACACCCAGCAGCCCAATGGGCACATTGACAGCAATGGTGAGCAGTGGTTTCATTATTCTGTAATGCTGGATCTCAACTTCATATGGGAGGTAGAAATCTCAGCCCAGAGTACTTCTGTGTTTGTGTTTGTTCTGAGTTATCTGGGAGATCTTTATAATGTAACTCCTGCATTTATGCAGAGCAGGGATCTGTGTTTGACTTCACAGAGCTCTCCTCTCCCAGGAGTAAGTGTTCCTACAAGCTGACTGCCTCAGAAACTGCTCAGTCAGGCCCTAAGGACTGGTTTTTTGCTAATTTTGGATTCTTCTTTTGGCAGCAGAGTTACCCACAGTCATACTAGAAAATGCATTAACATTGCCTGTCCCTGCCTTCAGGCTTTGAAATTAAATGTTGGGGTTTTACACTATTTAAACACAGCACATTAGGAAGGAGTTCTGAACTAAGATCCTCCTGAGATTGTGCAGCATTTATTCTGTTAAATGTTTGCTGAAAATTATCTTTTATCTCCATTGCTATTTTTTCTCCCATTTCCAGTGTAAATAAGACCAACAAGTCATTTAAGTGTGAGCAGATGGCTGTGATCTTTACCCAGATGGTTTGTTTGTTACAGGGATGTGTCAGGCTGACACTGGAAGGTGTCCAGATGTTGAAGCTCCTGCTGTAGGTTGTAGACAGCCCAAGCTGTGTATCAGCTATAATAAAGACACTTGGAAAACTGAGGACATGGCCGATGGAATGCTTGTTCCAGATAAGACAGGTACAAAACCCATTAATCTGGGAAGGCATTTCGTGTTTGTACAGATCACAAAACCCTCCAAGTCAGACAGCATTATCACAAGGAATTGTTACCTTCAGAGAAAAAAAAAGCTCAGAATGATTCTCAGGTGCAAGCACAGAAAATTTACTTTCTCCTGCTTGCTTTGATCCTCTCTCAAGCTTGGATAATTGGAATTTGAGGAACTGTCAGAAAGAGGCAGAGTAAAGCTCCCAGTTGCCATTCTGTGCAGCTGGCTGATGGGAATTTTGATTTTAAGTATTCTTAAATTATGAGAGCACTTTCAAAACTGAAAGTGTTAAATTTTTTCATGCTCTTTTAAAAGGGCTGTTGACTTCAAAGCTCAGCTTTTTCATTTATTTTCAAAATTTAAAGGTTGTTTTGGGCACTACACCTGCCTCTGCTCTTTGCCAATTTCTATGGTGTTCCACTCATGCTTTTCTATTTTTAGGATGTGCTTTCTGTTCTCCCACTGCATTGTAAAAGCCACTGAAAATCAGCCAATGAAACAAATTTTCTCTCTAGGAGAAACTAATGTAAAGTTTAATAATGCAAAGTTGTTGAGTGCACTAAGGAAATTCACTTTCAACATTCAGAAACTCCTTGCTGCTTTGAATTCTGCTTATCTGTTGTTCCCTCTACCAGTAATAACATATCTTGAGATAAAAATGCAAGCTGTTACTGCTCTCTGTAAAGCAGCAGCACAAAAATAAGAAAGATAACTTGGTATTTTAAAGCAGCTACAGTAAAGTTCCACTTTGCACTTCTACCCAATTTAGAAAGTCTGGAAAAAGAAATAAATACATAGGTTATTTAAAAAAAAAAAAAAAGTTACAAGTACTTTGGAGAGAAAATGAATCCCTAACTAACTAAAGCTGTTAGTTGGGCCTACCTTGAGCGATGGTGGGTGTGTGATAGCCCTGTGTGAGACCACAAAGTGTCCACGTTATTTAGCGAGAGATTCCCCCAGTGAGCTGCACAGAGCTGCCCTTCCCTCCCGTGATTTGTGTGCTCCAGTGCTGACCACTTCCATCTGCTCCTGTTACCTTGTTGATTTTCCCTTCCTGCCCCACAGGCTACGGGCTGCCCGTGGTGTGCACGGAGTGCAGCGGCAGCACGGACAGCGTCACCGTCCGCTCCTACCCCAAGGACTGCCAGAGCCTAAAGACTGTGGAGAGCACCCACCCCAATGCACTGAGCAGCAGGGAGCACCAGAGGAAGAGGAGTGCAGGCACCAGCCTTCTTCATGCTCAGCCCTGCAACGGGATTGCCAGTGGCAAGAGGATGGAAACAGACGGGACCCTGTACCCCAGCAACCACGACAGGATAAGGCCAGAGGGCACGGCCGGCGCGCTGCTCGCGGATGCGCACGGTGCGTACTTCCTCGGGGTCACCTCTGATCCCCAGGGCCACCAGCAGGGTTGTAGCACCACCCCATATGCTCCCCTCAGCCTTTTCAACCAGCTCACAGGCGTGGATGGCAGCGGTGGGGTTGGTTTGGGCATAGAATAGAATTATTGAGGTTGGGCAAGACGTCCAGGGCCGTGGAGGATGGGAGTGCTTGGCAGGCTGGGCATCACCTAACCATGCTGCTCCTTTGGGGTTTTGCAGGCTCTTCACAAGCAGCAAAGCCTTCAGAGCTTAACAACCTTAATTTGGTGAGAGCTTCGCCTGCAGGAGGGTCATTAAAGCAACTGAACGTGCTTCCTGAAATATCCCCAGCACTACTGGATCTGCAGAGGGAAGCAGAGGTGGAGCAGGCTCTCCTGGCCAGCAGCACCACAGCCCAGCCCCACGACTCCACTCACGAGCCCAAGCTGCCCAACAGGTCTCTGGACTGAGAGCACAGACTGACTGCCATGTGCAAATTAACAAACACACTATTACTTTTTTTTAAGTTTTTTTGGTTTTTTTGTTTCCTTTTTTTTTTTTTTTTGCACAGAGTATATAGGCTACTTACTTCTACCTCAAATCTTGAACTGATGGCCTGACAAAGGCAACCAACTGAGGTATGAGAAACAAGCTTGTATGGGGAACAAACTCCTGTTCGAGCGTCATCTGATTGTACATAGTTTAAAACTTCCCTGAGAAGTATGAAGTGTTCAAAAGTCAACTTGCATATGAAGCACATAAATGCAAGGGATTATTGTGTAAAGAGAAAAGTATTTGATACAATTGTACATAAGAGTTTTCATATATAAATATATATATAAAAAAATATATATATATCTTTTACAGAGGCTATTTTAATCTTTAGTGCATGGAAAACTGAGTGAAATTTTACAATTTTGGCAATATTGTTTTCAGTATCAGGTTGCTGTTTAACTTTGTGAGAGAAATAATTCTGGTGCCTTAAATGCATAAACATAACTTCTAAAAGCCAGACTGTTCCAAAGGGATCGTCCTCTTTTCAGTGGAAGTTCCTTTACACCATGTACTGCGGGGTTGGGGCAATCCCAGGTACTGGTTGTGTGGAAAAGTGACCAGGAACAGCCCTGTGGAGAGGGATTTGGGGGTGTTGGTGGATCAGAGGCTGGATGTGCCCTGGCCATGTGTGCTCACAGCCCAGACATCCAACCATGTCCTGGCGTGCATCTAGAACATTGTGGGCAGCAGATTCTGCTCCTCTGCTCCACTCAGGTGAGGCCCCACCTAGGGTTCTGCACACAGTTCTGGTGCTCTCAATGTAAGGAGTAATGAGTTCAAACTGAAAAAGGGGAAATTTAGGTTAGATGTAGAAGAAATGGAAATTCTTCCCTGTGAGGGTGGTGAGGCACTGGTACAGGTTGCCAGAGAAACTGTGGATGTCCCATCCCTGTAGTGTTCAGGCTGGATGGACCTCTGAGCAATGTGAACTAATGAAAGCTCTCCCTGCCCATGGCAGGGGGTTGGAACAGGGTCATCTTTAAGGTCATTCTTCCCCTGTACTCAGCACTGGTGAAGCCACACCTGGAGAGCTGCGTCGAGTTCTGGCCCCTCAGCTTGGGAAGGATGTTGAGATGCTGGAGCGTGTCCAGAGGAGGCAACGAGGCTGGTGAGGGGCTGGGACACAAACCCTGTGAGGAACGACTGAGGGAGCTGGGGGTGTTCAGCTTGGAGAAAAGGAGGCTCAGAGGTGACCTTATCACTCTGCACAGCTCCCTGAAATGTGAGGGTCAGGCTCTCCTCCCAGGCAATCACTGAGAGAATTAGAAGATACAGCCTTAAGCTGAGCCAGGGGAAGTTCAGGCTGGACATTAGGAAAAAATTCCTCACAGAAAGTGGCTGGACATTGGAATGGGCTGCCCAGGGAGATGGTGGAGTCACTGTGCCTGGACGTGTTTAAAAAAAGACTGGGTCTGGCACTTAGCCATGGTTTAGATGATAAGGTGGTGTTGGGTCAAAGGTTGGACTTGATCATCTCAAAGGTCTCTTCCAACCTAGTTAATCCTGTGGTTCTGTCCCTTCCAACCCAAGATTTTCTGTGATTCATTTGGATTACTTAGCACAAATTTCGTTCCCCTTGGAAATTTATTGTACTTAACACATTTAGTAACAGAGATCTTCAACTGTGTCAAATGAAATTTATAAAGAAAAAAAGCAGTGGGCAATTACAGAGCAACCTGATATTTTCCTGTTGGTGGAAGAACTTGAATTCCATTATTTTTCAAAACTTCATAAAAATTAGTATTTAAACTGTGATTGTGTGAGACTTTAGAGTGGACCACACAGGAGGCACTAAATAACTCTTCAACAGTGCAGAGCCCCAAAACAACCAGAGGAAAAGGCTGTTTTGACTGGGAAGAAGTTGTTACCAAAATAAATAACTTGTGCAGTAAACCAGGGGTGGTCTCATAACAGTGCACCTCTCAAACACGTCATCACAGAGGTTTTACCTGCCATGTGTGCACAGCTCTGAGCACCACAGCCCTCACCACAGGCCCTTCCCCTCCCAAGGGGACCCAGCTCTACCTGTCTGAGGTGTGTGCAGCAATCCAGCCTTGCCCTGCTTAGAAAAAATAACCTGTGCCAGTGTAATGCATTTTCACACCCCAAAACCACATCTGGGTTTTGGGGGTTTGAAACCATAGAGCTGTTTGGACAACAAAACCAAACTGTACTCCTAAGGGGACAGCTGTATCACTAATTCATCCAATACTTTTTTTTTCCCTGCAACACAATATTACACTTTGTAGTTGAACAGCCACACTCTCTATATGAAAACATCACCTTCAAGTGAGTTATGCTGCCTTGTGTAGCAATTCTGGGCTAGTCAGAAATACACTTGTTTTATAAGGAAAACTGTGGATTCATGGTTGAATAGACATTTAAATGGAGATGTCCCAAATGTTTTTATGTGGTCTTTTAAGTTCATCCATTAATGGAGTGGGGATAAAGAAATGCCCACCTCAGTCAAACAGATCTTTGTCACTTCTGACTTCACAATGACGCTTTTTATTTATAGAAAGGTTGCTTTCTGTTGGTGTTTGTTGGTACCTGTGGATGGAGGACTCCCAGTTCTTTGTGATTTGAGTTCTGCTAACATGAGGTTGCTAACTCTGGTGATGACTACTTTGGGGCAGGTTTATCATGGGTGGGAGGGGGGTGTTGTTACTTTTTTCCTTAGGAGCAACTCAAATACCAGTTCCACTGAGGCCGAGTCTGGGAATCCACCTTTGCCAGGACTGTGGTTCAGAACAAGCAGCAGGGATAAGGGCAGAAACACTTCATGGTCACTTTAGATCCATCCCTGAGGGACCTGCCCCGGTGCTGCTGCACCTGTGGGGTTTCAGGGAGTGGCTGCAGGCTGCCCCTTGGTTTTATCACAAGCTGGTCCTACCCAGCCTTAGCTCCTGTAGGGGAAGGACCTGCTCTGAGGGTCAGGGAGAGCAGCAGCTGCCCCTGGATGAAGCCAGGCATAATTCAGCCAGTACCTGTCTGTCCCAGTCCCTGACTATTGACACGTTTGCACTTTGAGACAGGTGGCGAATTATGTTGAGTGCCAAGTTTATTCAAAGCAAAGGAAATGGATGTTAGAAAATTATAAACCGAGCACAGTTTTCCCTTTGCTGAAGGGAAAAGTGCTCCAGAACTAACTCATGGAACCAGGGACATGGGGAAGATGGGAATGATTCAATGGGCTCGTTTTGCTGGCAGAAATGTCATCACCAGTGCAGATACAAAAGTATATTTGTCATGTTAACATTGAAAATAATGGTTCTGAATAAAGTTAACTGCCTAATGTTATGACTTCCACTAAATATGTGAATTTGCTGCTTCTAAGAGGCAATGTGAAAGAGGAAGTATTACTTTTGTGTACAAATTTATTTATTTATTAGAGAATTTGGTACAATGTTGTACATTGAAAAACATGTAAGATATTGAAGTGTCTAACAAACGGCATTGAAGTGTCTTTAATAAAGGTTCATTTATAATATTACGGCTGATCTGTTGAGAGTGAGCTTTTGGGAGTTTCAGTTGAAAATTAAATAAAATTCTAATCCATTGCTATATCTCTTTTCTGTCTTTCTGTCATGAAAATGGAGGTTAACTGCCAAAGTACCTGCTCTTGAAATTGGGCCATGAGATCCTGGGGAACAGCGTGAGGCTCTGACAGCCTGGCCTGTGGATGGGGTGGAATTTGGGGCTGGATGGAAAAATACAATACAGGACTTGTAAGAAATACATTTCCAATATATCAGCTTGCCTTAGTGTCTGGCAAGTCCCCCTATCTTGGCAGTGAGAACAGAACAAGATGAGGTGGGGGGTGTGTGTGTAAGTAAAAACAGGGCCAGGACAGCACCAGACCCAGCTGCAGTGGTGAAAACCTCTGCTGTTCCCAAACCTCAACCCCACCCTGGGTGGAAATTCCACAGGTAACTTTGGAGATAAGCCTGAATTCCTGCTTTAACTAAAAATCTCAATTCAGTTTCTGTATTTTTCTAAAAAATTAAAACTAATTCCCCCTTGAAATTATCACTTTGGGTATAAAGCAGTTGTCTGAGAATATTCAAAGTTCCTTAACACATCTAGGAGTTAAAATTTTTTAAAATTGAGAGAGGTTTTAAGAGGCTGGTGCCTGGTGTAAAATTTGTTATCCCACTTTATCCATGTAATGGGCTACATTAAATTTGGTAAACTTGAAATAAAACATTGCTAAAACTTAAGGCAAACAGTCATAGGACAATCCATGTATTTTTTGGTCTATTTTTTCTCCCCACAGTCCCAAAACTAAAAATGTCCTTTTCATCCATATTAAGCAAACTGGTGCATGCAGAGCAGCCCTGGCTCCTGCTGGGGCTGTCAGTTGCCTGCTGCCATTCTCAGGTACCTTTGGCCTTTGGTGCAGAGCTGCTCCACTGGCACAGGGGAAAGGGAATCTTGAGGTCTGTCCCCTCCCACCATCAGGTTGGCTAAAACAATTTGGCTGCTTGGCTGGGTTTTGTTGGGTTTTAGTTAGGGTTTTTAATTTTAATTTTAAAAAAAGTGATGACAAAAACTGATTCTGCAATATTAAATAAAAACAACAAAAAATGCACCATTTGGACCCAGTGATATAAAGATGATTATTTACAGCTCAAGTAATTAAATGCATCAACTGCAGTGCTAACCCCCTCACCATGTTTAAAGAGCTTCAAGAGAAAATGTGATAGCTTTTTGAGACAGAGTAATAAATCTCCCTCCCTTCCCAGCCCCTAAAATTGAATGTGATAAATGTATATATATATAGCATGTCATAAAAAGAGACAGCCTCAAAGTGGCAGGAAGCACAGCTACACCAAGCCATGGCAGTGAGTAGTGTTACCAACCAGCCAATGTGGGACTTGGCCGAATTCCCCATTTTAATTGAAGATTATTTTTAAGAATTATGTCCTTTGTTCTGTATGTTTTACTTGTCTGCCAATTATTTTCTAAGTTTTGGCCTCTGAAAAGTCTTACAACTCTGTCATGGATAGCAGTGTAATAAGCCATCCAGCCCGTGCTGTAGGCACTCTGGGCAGGGGCTCTGGTGTCACTGGTGTCCCCTGCTCAGGCCACTGCCCTGGCCTGGCATTTGTCCTCCCTCTCCCAGGACTCCAAACTCATTGTCCTCATGAGGGGAACAGCCTCACAGGTAAATTACAGCAGCCAGGGCAGCACAGCCCCCCTGGCACATCCGTGCTGGGATGGCAGGGACAGTGCCAGCAGGACGAGTGCCCTGGCATGGCCCCAGGGCCCTGTGGCACCCACTCCTGTGCCCCGTGTGAGGAGCTGCCCACGGCCATGCAGGGAACCATCAATCACCCCCAGAGCCCCCTGGCTCTGCTGCCCACACAAACCCTCCCCAGCTGAACCTGCCAGCCACCACACGGCCAAGCCGGCGCTGTAAACCCCCAGCACCGTGATAATTTTGAATAATTCCAATAAGGTCTTTTCATCTCATTCATCCCCACACCGTTTTGGCTGCTGCAGCTTGTGTTTCCTATATGAGAACAGCAGCAGGATTTTGCCTGCCAGCAGCCCCACAAGAGCCCTCAGGATCCACCCCTACATCAGCAGAACTCTGCTGTTCTCCCTGCCTTGCCCTCCCAAGCTTCAGCACTGCCATTCTCCTGCTGCTGAGGGATGAAGACCAAAAGAAGGCAGAGCTCCGTGTCTTTGCACAAGCACAGCTGTAAAATAATACAAGCCTGTGCTTTTACTGGAGAAATATGAGTGTGATTAATAAAGCTGCACTGGCTCCCACACAGGAATGCTTGCTGAGCACCTGTAGGTATAAACAGGAATATAAACTTCCATAAATACAGCTCGAATCAGAAACAAATGGATGATTGTCTTTGACAAAGAGTTCTCCCAAGCCAGGATCCTTTCGGTGCTGTTGGAAGGCAGCAGGCTGTAACTCTATCAGCCCCTTCCCCTCCCCTGTTACGAGGCAGGTGCCACTGAATGATGAAAACTTGCTTTATTTCAGCCTCCCCACTCAGCCCCCAAGCCAGAGCTTTCCAAAACACTTTCCCTGCAGGAGTTCTAATAATGCCTTTTGCAGCCACCGTAATTAGCTGTTTACCCCCCAAACATTACTTTTTTGGCACAACTCTTCAAAATTACCTCACCCACTTTCCATGCAGGAAAATTTCATGTTTGGGAAACTGGATTATTGGAGGATTTACTTTTCTCTAGCAGGGAGAGTGGCCCTCAGCCTGCGGGACAGCTGCTGTGAGGGATGCGGGAGGAAGGCTCTGCTCCCAGCCCGGCTCCTCCTCCGGCTTCTCCCTCTGCAGGACGGGCCGGGCTGCCTCAGAGCAGCAGCTGCCGAGTCTTCTCGTATGTCCCCAGGAAGATGAAGCCTCCCAGGCTGATGGCTGCCATCCGTGGGACAACACCTGCGAACAAGCTGGAGGCAAAGGAAAGGCGCTCTGAGAGGATGAGCAGGGAGCGGATGCAGGGGCTTCGGGAAACAAAGCCAAGAAAAACTCTCTCTTGCTTTCTTAAATCCCACCCCACCACTCACTGCAGGAATCTGTCTGGACTTCCCTAACACAGCACTCCCAAGGTTTGTGGTTTTTAACCCCTCTCCACACTGCTCGGGTGCAGAAGGAGAAGGCAGAGGCCATTACGGGCCACTGGAATGGGGAGCTCAAGCACAAGGCCACACAGAGCTGCAGACAGGGGAGGACATCCTGTCCCCCACTGCCCCTCAGGCCAGGGCTGCCCCTTGCAGAGCCAGCCCTGCTCACTGCAGTGGCTCCTTCCCAGGAACAGCCGTGAGGAGCAGAAATATTCCATTCCATTCCATTCCATTCCATTCCATTCCATTCCATTCCATTCCATTCCACCTTCAGCTGCCACCCTTTTTAGGTGCCTGATCTTCATAAAAATTAACAGGAAACTCGTGCAAAGCCAATTGCTTGACACCTCTAAACTCACAGTTGATTTAACAGCTTCAGGACAGGCCAGGGTATCCTCCCAGAGGATTACAGGCTTCCTTTGTGGCAAGCAAGGATTAAACTCAAATCTGTTTGGCATCCCACCCCCCTTCCAGATCCATGGCACTCAGCCTGGCTGGGCTCCACAGGGATCCTGTCCCTGGCTTTGCCAAGCACTGCATGGTCCCTGCTGACAGGGTGTCCGCAGTGGGACAGGCTGGAATTCCTGGAGAGACCTGGCTGCTCAGGAGCTCCCTGCTGCACTGGGAAACCTCTGGCAGTAATGAGCTCTGCTAAGGAGCCGGGAGCACACAGGCAGATGGAAACATTTTATGGCTTTACTAGACAGCAATTGGGCCTATTACCATAATGACAGCTTTAAAACAGAGTAATTTGTACAAGGCATGTATGGACAGAGCACTGATAGGGCAAATCCTAGGGAGCAGCACACAGCATCCCTCTCCTGCTGCATTAGGGAGCCTCATTACGGGAGCAGGGGCAGACATCCATTTCCAGAACAGCCCACTCGAGACACAGCTATTACACAAACAGGGGCCCATAACTGAGTTACCCAGAAGCTGCATCCCTGGCAGCCCCCATTACTAACCATCACTTCCAAGAATCCTGGCCCTGCTTCTCCCAGATTCCTGTTCCCACCTGCCACCCGTGGCCTCTCCAATCCACGCTTCCCCCATGGGCTCCCTCTCTGTGTGAGGGCAGAGCTGCACAGCTGCAGGGAGGTCCCAAATCCAAAGAGCAGAGCTCTGTGGCAGGTCTGATCCAAACTGGTCTCTGCTGGACTCCGCCTGCCTCCATCAGCAGATGAGATAAATTTGGTTTATTTCTGCTGGCCCCATCAGAAGCCGCTCTGGTGGGCAGAGGTCTGCTGTCGAGCTGATTTGGTCTGTGTCTGCAGATTTCACCTGGCACCCTGCCACTCCTCAGTTCCTAACAGGAGACTAACAGGACCCCTGCAGTTACCCTTTGGATCATTGAATCATGTAGGTTGAAAAAGGACAAGCCCAAAATAACCCATCATTACCAAGCACCCCTCTAACCCACGTCCCCAAGCACCACAGTTACACACGTTTTGAACACTTCCAGGGATGCTGATTCTACCACTTCCCTGGGAAACAGGGCAAAGCAATGCAGGGCCTGGACACAGCACAGAGGGGCCAGTGCTGAAAAAAGCACTGTGTGTAACTTGCAGCCCAGTGGTGGAGGCTTTCTCCACCCTGCCTGGCTGCCAGGTAAAATTCTGCCTTCTCTACTCCCCCAAGAGAATTCTCTGCTCTCCTCCCCTCGAGGGGCTGCCCAGCAACAGAGGCTTTCTCTGTGCATGTGCTCTTACTGCTGAGGCATGTGCCCTTCTGGTATTTTTCCACTAAATTGAGATTCATAACCTACACTTCAACAAATAAAACTAAACAATGTCTAGGGATTGCTATTGCAAAATTAAATCAGTACCTCACACGTGCCAATCCCGCTCTGACCAGGATGTTCTTGGGAGGAACAGGACACCTGGTGCAACACCACCAGCTCCATCCCCAGCTCTACACAGCCACCTCACCAGCACCACCCCTCCAATAACCCTCATGT